CAGGTGTAGGAAAATTATCATAGAACGATCCCATCCTATGAACATATCTCTCTTAAAATATGCACAGTAAGTATGGACCAAGTGTAATCTCTCATATATTGATTTTTGAGTTTTAATTCGCTTACATTTAAGAGAGTAAATTACTTTTGATGCTTAAAATTAAATGGTGTCATTTGTACTTTCCTGGCTGTTATAACAGAGGAAAAGTATGGCGATTGTGCAAAAAATGACCTCCCAAAACTTTTACATTTTTGGATTTAGGACACCTTGAAACATCGAGAAATATAAAAAAAAATTCGTGGGGTAATTTCTGTATGAATAAATATTAGTGTGTGTGTTTGTGTTTATGTATGTGTGTGGGGGGAGCAAAATTTTGTTCACCATGCTTGAATCTTAATAACTCCTGTGCTTTCGAAAATTTCTGAAATTTTGCAGGAAGGTTTGTGTATTAGAAAGATTTATGCTATTAAATTTTGGTGATTAAAGGTCGAGAAGGTGGGAAGATAATTGGGGTCGTGTGTATCTCCAGTAGGGTTGGACTTTATGACTATTTTACTCGTTATTAGCATTTACATTCTTTATATATGTATATATATATATAAAACTCATCTCTACCCTCAAAATTAAGCTTTTTTTCATTTTATAATAGTTAAAAATATAAAAAAGATTTTAAAAATAAAATATGATAACAGATGGCGCCACCAAAATTTTAAATGTCGCCGGGAAAGTTGAGCAACTCGTTGTTGGTTTATTTTGATTTAGTGTTATATCCATTATTGAAAAATAAAAGCCTTGCTTTGTTTTGTTAATTGTAGAAATGCTTTCTGTCCTTTACATCAATTGGCAAAAGTTATGGTTTGGATATAAGAAACCTCCACGAGATTTGATGAACGTAAACGTCTTCTCTGGTGAATCATCTTTAGGTTTTTTTTTTTTCAATATATTTTTGCATTTATCACAACCAAGTGATGGCAGTAGACGATGAACAACGTAAACTCCTAAATAGCGAACAATAAACTTTCTGGTGTACTTATACTAATAATTCACTATAAGTATGATCTCCATAGGATAGGCATGGATTACATAGCAAATTTTGTAAATGTTCTTCCAGTTGTACTTGAAAGTGTGTATCACGCAAATCTAATGATTGATAAAGAAATATTAAATAACTAATCTTAAAGTATTTATAAGGGAAGGTGGGTCACAGAGAGATAGTTAGGATTTTTGATATTTACTGCTCAACAAAACAATGATTATGTATAAAATAAAAAATTGTTTAGATTCTAATAAAAAGACATTACAGTATATATATGGCTACAGTGCAATTATTCTACATAGCTTGCTCTTCAATGTGATGAAAGTTTAATGTTGCTGTTTGGAGCCATAGGATACAATAAAGATTTTCTATTTGCCCGTCGTCTTACTTTCCTTTAAGATTAGCTAACAAACATACATTGTCTTTGGTATTGTGTTTTCGGGAGCTCTTCCTAGACGGTTCTTCATTTTCTGTTAGGAATTGCGTTGATCGTTTTTGAGGTACAGACTTAATAACGTACTTAGGACAGTTAGGGAAGTTTGATGAATATGTCTGTTTTAAGTTACGGCAACTCAACACTTGAGCGATCTGCCTCCGAGAGGTCTTTTGAAGGGTAACTGGCTTCTAGACAGGCGTTACAAACGTGGAGAAAACCCGGAAAACTCCACGTAGCCAGTCTATACTAGTGAGGCGCAAACCCACGACCGAACGCTCAGTGTATAGGGATCGGAACCGCTTGGCTACTGGAGGGCCACTTTAATAGATATGCATCTGACGTTAATGCCCTACAATCTCGTGGAATTTCTACTTTCTCTTCATTTATAACACAGAAGTAGGTTTTGAAAATAAATTTACTTGCAAAATGTACGTCAAAACGTAACATTTATTTGTTAGCATCTTGTTGTCTTGTGGAATGCATCACACCCACGCTTCAATCTTATCGCTAGGAACACGGAAGAAATGTCTCTTCACGTTTGATGATTTATATCCTGCCTTATATCCTGGAACAAAGCACGTTGGCATTTTTATGTAGCGTAAAAAAAACAACTACAGTGGGTGATCGGTTAATAGCAGATATCGGCTTTAATCCTCTTTTTCAGTAAGTTTCTTGGTGTTCTTCATTCAAGAGTTCCTGTCGTCAGGTCGGTTTCAGTTTCCCTTATGAGCTCTTCAATGTTCTTTATTTCTCAGATGTGATTTTTGTTACTCCTTTAGGCGCTTGAGTCTTCTTGATTATACTGTATCTTTCTTAGATAAGATTGAACTGTGGCCTACTGTAGACCTGTTCAAGCCATACTACTCAGCAACATCAGACATCTTTTGCCCATTCTCACCTTTCGAAAATAAAAACCGATGCAAAACTTAAAAAGTGCCCGCCCGACAGTCTCGAAAAAATACTATTAAAAAAATTCTTTCTGTCAGAAAAATGAGAGGCTGGAATTACAAGGGAGAGTTTCTAAGTTCGGAGAAATACTATCTGATCAGTATATACCGGGTTGAAGGTCGATGTGGATGTCTCTCGCACTCCGAAAAGTTTCTAATTGTTGCCCGAAGACAAGGGAAGATCAATTGGTATTCATTATTTTACATCGCTTCTTCTTGTGTTTGTTCTGTGAGGTGTTCGTTGTCCGAACATAAAAATCTTTAGCGAAAGTGCTCGTTATCCGATCACCCACTGTATTATAGATCGAAATTACTGATTTCACTAGTATATTCAAAGCAAGAACAAAGCTCTTCTACCAACCGAGGCGTCAACTAACGGCAAATACTGACTATAGCTAAGTTTGAACTGCGAGTCGAAGACAAGGAAATCTACCGACTCTTCTTCTGGGTAGTATATGGATAGTCAAATACAAAAATTAGTCTAATTGTATAATTCGACTCGGTCACGGAGTTAGAGCCCGTATAGATTATATAACAAATAAAAGTAAACGAATATTGAAATAAAAGAATGAATAGTGCCAAGTGATCATTATTACGCTACATTGCGTTTATAAAACAAATAAAAGTAAAACTTGAAGGTGATAGTTGTTAAGGTTTGAAGAAATCGAGAAGACAGCAGTTTTCTATTAAACATATATCATATATCGATTCGCCTCAATCACGTAACCTCACGCGTAGTGTTGCCAAGAGACTTAAACACAAAATTTTATAATTATTATTCGTTTTCTTTTAACAATAATTATATCCTGCATCAGACTAATTATCATTCATAAATTTATTTATTTATAAGAATTCTAAATAAATAAATTTTAAATTTAAAGAAAATATAAAGAATTTTAAAAATTATTGAAAAATGAGAATCATAGATGACCCGCTTAATCCTTCAATATTCTGGCGGGCGATACCGATATGTTTCAATCAATTTTTGTTTCCTTTTCTCAGAAATCCGTAATGCATTTACAGTATTTTTTTACCGTAAAGTAAAAAAATTGTCTCGAAAAATTTTGTGAAAGCTTTATGCCTAAGATTACTAGATCTCATTTATTTTAGCACCATTTCAATTTCCTCCAGCTGAAACGAATCAAATATTTTGTTTAACTTTTGTATTATAAATATAACGGTGACCACCGGTTGTCAAGCGATTCCGTTCCCTGAACACTAGGAGTTCGGTCTGTATACTTTGACTTGGTATACAGTAAAGATGTATCGAGTTTCGTAAACATTGTGAATATGAGTGTTTTATTAAACGAAACATTGGCAACATTTTTTATTGTTTTGAAATTATCTGATTCCAGTAATTCTGACTTAATTACTTAGGTCGTATATTATTATCACTCGGTTTTTATCAGTATAGGCTAATCGAAAGTGACTGCAATAAACGGTATACATAATATATATATTCGTAGTAACAATTTTCTTATTTCCGTACAGGATCAACCTGATCAGTTCTTTTTATTAATCGTTCATTTGTTCCTGGCATATTGCATTTTATTTTGTAATAGTTATTAATGATGTATCAGCTCAATTTATATAAGTACTATATATACTTTTTAAACTTTTCCTGTCCTCTGAGCCAATATTTTTTTTAATTTTCATTATAAGTTACGTGTAAAAATCTTTATATATTCTAACTATAAACTTTCATATGTATTTTATAATTATTCCTACTACTATTCTTTTTATTGTTATTGTTATAGTTTTTATTAGGATGTTCTGTCGTTCTAGTAATGACTTTTATTTTTCCAATGGACACAGCTAGAAACTTTTGTATAAATTAATTACTTAATTAATCGAGTGTACAATGGGATATTCGAGTATAAACATTTTGTATCATGAAATTAATTTACATTACATTTCTGTAAACATTGAACAATAATAATTCATGATGTTGTGTTCGTTACCATTTATTCTAAATTAAATAATATCAAATTACTAATTGTACTAAAATAAAACTATATAAAAATGTATTGTATATTTAATTTTGAAACTTTAGTTTCAATATATATTTTGATATTGTACGCTATTGTATATAGCACATATAATATGTCATATAATATCAAAAATGTAAATAAAGAAACTATAAATTTCTTGTTATTCTTTGTGATATTTGTATTATGTACAGTCAATTACAATATGTTATCATTATTGAGAGCTATAGAGAGCTACAGGCTTCATTATTAATGTAGTTTGTAATCCATATGTTTAGTGACATAACGTTATATAAACGTCTGTTTAATTTACACTAGAGACAGAATAAATTAGGTATATGTAGTTAATTTCCTTCCAATTAATGCAGTTAAGAATATAATTAATGATAATATCAGATTATATAGTCTATTTATTGATTATTTTCTTACTACTTTAATTGTTGCTAGATACAAAATCTCAATCAATATTTACCTGTAGCTAGACAATATAGATTAGTTATTTAGTCTACATTTCTGTATTTTGAATTGATTAAATAAACAATCATAATTTATTTTATAAATTAAAATTCTAATATATTTTTTTATTGTTTTAGATATGAGGTTTGAATTGTAGTCTTACATTAACCAATAGAATTTCTAGTTATTTTGAGGTGAGACTTCATCAACAGGCTTACTGTAAGGTTGATGTGTTGTCGCTATGCCAACGAATAAAAGCTTTAGTAAACGGAGATTGACCTCTATTTTTCTCCTGTTAGTAGCAGTTATACAAGTGACTATATCAGGGAATCGTTACTTTAATAGTTAATAAATAAAGGTAATGGAGTTAATAAATTATTTTTATTTTTTTACTAATTAATTAAAATTTTTAATATAATAATGATATTCCATTGATTTATTTAATGTTATATAATTGATAATTACTAATTAATAATTATCTTATATACTGTTATAGATTTAAGACTTTTATGAAAATGAAGATAAATTTTGTACAAGATTTTTTATCATCAACTTTTACACGGTTTGGAGAAATTATTGGGAAATATCCTCATTATTTTGTTATTATTCCAGTTATTATAACTCTTATACTTGCTCCAGGAATGATGAATATGACGTATAATAGAAATGTAGATTATTTATTTGTAGCCGAGGGAGGTAGAGCCGAAAAAAATAGAAACTTTATGGAAAAATTGTTTCCTTTAAATACTTCTATTTTTACAGATTTTCCCAGATTTACTCGGGCTCCTGAAGGTATTATCGTATTTGTCAAAGGAAAGAAAAGCGGTGATATGTTGAATACAAAAATATTTACTGAATTGAACTTATTGGATAATATAATTAAAAATATTTCTCTTAATATCAATGGAGATATAAAATCTTATAGTAACTTATGCGGTAAAATATATAATAAATGCAATCAAAATCCAATTTTAGATTTAATTCCTCACTCTAAAGAAGTAGCAGCTAGAAAATTACGTATTAAATATCCTATAGATATAGATAATCTCACATATTCTTATAGACCATATACTTATAATTTAGGAGGAGTTAAAACAGATGTCTATAAAAATGTAGAAAATGTAGAAGTTGTTAGATTATTTTATATTCTAGACAATAATATAAAAGAGCATTCTTGGATTAAACAATGGGAAAAGTTAGTAGTGTATAAATTAAAAACGACTGAATTTAAATACGTTGAAGTGTATGCCTTTTCACTTTCTTTACTTAGAGACAAATTAGAAATTTTTTCAAAAGAAATATATCCATTAATAACAATTGTAGTAGCAACAGTTAGCTTATTTTCAATCATCAGTAACATGACTAATGATTTAAAGAAAAGTAAACCATGGTTGGGGATGTCTGCTTGTATATCTGCTGGATTAGCTGTGGCTTCTTCTTTTGGATTGGCTTCTTTCTTGAAGATAGAAAATACCGATATGAATATCATGCTTCCATTTTTAGTTCTTGGTATGTTTTAGTATATTGTTAAATTAAACAGAACATATAGAAATATAAATTTATGATTATAATACTGTTTCTTTATGTTATTGTCTTAGGAATGGAAGTAGATGATTCTTATGTATTAATTTCAGCGTGGCGAAGTAATCATTCTAACGAAACTGTAGAGAAACGAATAGGAGAAGCTTATTCTAAAGCATCTATATCAATTACTATAACTTCTATAACCAATTTAATTACTGTTTTAGTTGGAATTTCAGCGCCATTTCCTATTGCAAGACTTTTTTGTATGTACGCAGCATTGTGCATTTTATTTACCTATTTATACCAGATAACTTTTTTTGGAGGATGTATGGCATTTAGCGGATATTCGGAATATAATGGAATAAGATCCATTTTACGTTTACAACAGAGTGAGTAGAATGTCTTACATAAATCTTTATTTAAACTGTACAAGGCCTTTTTAATAAATAAATAAATATATATATATATTTTTTTTAATTTTAGAATCTCTACCAGCTAATGTTTCTACAGAAGAAACTATAATGAAAATATTCAGAACTAAATTTTCAATATTCCTTTCAAACACAAAAGTTAAAATTTTACTTTTATTATTGTTCTTTATAAAATTATCTTTTGGTTTATGGGGATTAAAATATTTAGAAAACGGTTTAGATACTACTAAAATTTTACCTGCAAATTCCGATACAACTAAAAGTGTTAAATTGTATTTCGAATACTTTACGGATTATCCGTTTACTATTCACGTAGCCATCAATAAGACCTTAAATTATGCAGATATAAATGTTCAAAAATCTCTTGAAAGATTAGTTAAAAAATTCGAGTCCGATCCTCACATAGCAGGACCGGAATTGACTTTATCGTGGTTAAAATTTTATAAATTATTCTTAAATCATGATATATCAAAGTTCTCAATGAAGGGTTACAATTTATCTCTTAAACAAGATTTTATCGATGGTTTGAGATTAGTCTTTTTGAAATTTAAAATCGCTAAACAATTTAAACACGATATTATTTTTAATGAAAATTATACCGATATAATAAACAGCCGTTTTCTTTTTACGGCAAAAAATGTTCGTAATAGAAAAACAGAAATGGAATTGTTAAAGAATATATGGCAAATAGAAGATGAATCTGATATACCAATAAAAGTACATTGCGTTATCGCTGATGTTATTGAACAAGGAATAATTATACGTGATATTGTCTCACGGTTAGCATGGATGACATCTCTTTCAATAATGATAGTTTTCTTTTGTTTTATTCCCAATTTTATATACGCAATCATAGTTGCTTTGTCTGTAGCATCTATTATATTCGAAACAATTGGATTTATGGCTTTATGGAAAGTCAATTTAGATATGATTTCTCTTTCTGTATTACTTCTTAGTGTTGGATTTTCAATTAATTACTTAACTCACCTTTCGTGTGCTTTTGTAATGTCAACGAAGAAAACGGCTTCAGAAAAACTGAGTTATTCTTTATATCATGTCGGTTATCCTATTATTCAAGGTTCTTTATCAACAATTTTAGGAATATTAGTTCTAGCTTTTAATGAATTTTATGTATTTGTTACATTTTTTAAAATTACATTTTTAGTTGCTTTATTCAGTTGTTTTCAAGCACTTTTTGTGGTTCCTATTATTCTATGTTTTGTTGAAAGTCTTAAAGAGAAAATATTCGGTAATGACCGTTCTGTAATGGTTCCGAATGGAGAAGCTAATTCTACGGTTTGAATATGTTTTAACGATAATCAATAATTATTTTTTAATCTCTTAATAAAAATGTAAGTAGCAAATTGTTAATAATGTTTTAACAACGTAAAATACTTAATTAATATTAATTAATTGGAGATAAAGAACAAGTATGAAAGCTTAGGGGCAGAAGGCTTCGATTAATTAACTATATATAAATTTTAAATTAAAAATAAACATTAAATTGTATTAAATAATGCTGTTTATTTTATACTATATTAACATTTGTTTACACTAATATTTTATTTCTTATATTTTAACTGTTTATTATTATTTTAAGAAGTATTATTTTAAAGTTCGCAATCGGAATCTGTTAGATACAAACGATTCATTTCGCGTGTTCAAAATTAACTTACATGGTGTGTGTTTTTTTTTTTTTTGTAAGTTTTATCAGTTAAAAATTATATTTTTTAAATAATAAAAAATATTGTATTAAAAATAATTCTTCGTAATGTGAGCTAATAATATTTTTGACAGAATATTTGTCCTATTAACACAAGCGAACTAATATTCTTACGTGAGATGAATACAAAAATTATATTTTTATATCTTACCTCATTAATATTAGTTGATTTATCCAGCGAATTTAAACAGTATTTCTTCCGATAGATCAAAGATATTGAAATAAATGGAGAATAATAGAACCGAACACTACTAAAAATTAGTGTAGAAATACCAGTTTGAACTACATGCGAACAGGCTAATCAAAACTTCTTCAAATTCGCGTAATTTTTCATTACAAATATGTCTTTTTTTTTCCATAAAATGGTCTATGATTAGATATAAACCAATAAATCAAACTTAAAATAAAAAGAAAAAAATACCGGTAAAAACATTTTAATTTTTAAAATTTTTGTGTTATCTGACTTTATTGATGGGTGAACGTTTAAGTATATACATTTATATATTTAAAAACCATTACGACAGGTCGAAAAACTCAATAAATTATGGTTTCTTCCGTTTATAAACAGGTTTAAATCACTCATTAAATCTTTTAATAAAATAAATAATAAAAGTTAATTGACACTAACTTTTTATTAAATCTATCGGGTAAAGTACGTTAAAAGAGCAGTGACATTGGATTTGAACCACTTTTGTCTTAACAGGTTTAGTATCTTTATAAATTAACTTTATTTTTTGCTAAAGTTATCGGATAGAATTTCATTAAAGGATCAGTATCACTCGTAGTGTCAAAGAACTTACAACAAGTCATTATACTATTTTTTCTTTTTTTTTGTATTAAAACATTTAATTTCGAAACTGGATATGATTCATCTAATATGATATTGCCATTTTTTGATCATTCTGGAAAATTCAGTATCAATATTTAAATACAGTATATTTGAATACTTCTAATTCTCATCTCTTACGGAGTTTTTTATACACTAAAGATTCTTATCGATATAAAATAAATTTTAAAAAGATTATATGAACGTTATTTAATTTTTTTTATTGTAAGGTGATTGAGGTAAAACCTATCGTGTAATTATTTGCTGATCAATATCAAATATCAACAGTTCGCGTGTTATGCACGCACATATCTGTAGTATATTGCTTCCACTTTCATTCTAAATCGGGTAAATTTAGACGAGAACGTTTGATTTTTCAGTATAAAGAAGATAATATGTAAAAGAACTTCGACCAAGTTTTCATCTAGTTAGCAATTTATTTAACCAGGTTGTATTTAAACCCGACAATAGCAGAAGGAACTAACTAACAGGACTGTTTAGAAACTACAATAATTTCTGTTCATTTAAACTTATATATTCGAAAAACAAGAGCAATGTTTGTCTAAAGAAACTTGCATTTAATCTGAAAGAAAATACAGGAAATCCTCGTTAATTCGAACTCGGATAGTTCGAAATTCCGTTAATTTGTAACTGTACTTATTTCTCGGCCGGAGATATAGAGATTTACACGTTAATTAGTTCGAAATGTGGCTGCTTCGAAATTCGAAGTGAAAATTCTATGCGAACTGTGTTTATGTTAACTAGTCAATATGACTTTGCTTTTGCAGTAACACATATTCGGGTGTCACCTTACACATAGACTACCCTTTTTTCTTTTATTTCATAAAATACGGCTGGGTTTAAGGATTGAAAGATTAGACTATGAGTAGCAGATTGAGATATTTGTATGCTATTTCATTTGGGCGACTTACTACTTTTTTGGCCACTTTAAAAATAATTTGAGCTAAATTTAGAGGAATTCTGCTTTACTTTTTATAAAACCTGTCTGCTAACCTGTGAGGTTCTTACCGCTGCTTACCTGTAATTTATGTATATTATTATTATTTATTTCTATTAGATGAATCACAACAAACAGAATACATGTTCGTGTTGACTAACATTCGCATCGGGTTCTTCTCAAGAACCTAGGATGTCGTAATGTAACGGCGTAGAATATTTGCAAACCCAAGCAGCGCAGCATTTTAAAGTTGACAGGTCAATGTTGATTTGCTTCAAGTGCTGCCCAGGTTTTTGGAAACAGTACCCAGTGCACCGATAATCACTGGTACTACTGATGCTGGTTTGTGGCACAATCTTTGGAGTTCAATCTTCAAGTCCATGTATCTTGTATTTTTTTTTCTTTTTTATATATATCATTAACTCTGCTGTCACCAGGAATCGCGACATCAATAATCCATACCTTTTCCCTCTCGACAATGGTTATGTCTATTGTGTTATGCGCTAAAACTCTATCGGTTTGAAATCTGAAATCCCATAAAACTTTTACCTGCTCATCTTCGGTGACTTTTGTGATATTATGATCACACCGTAAGTAAATCAAGGTTTTTGAAAATGTTCCAGTGAATCATCTTAGTAACGCTATTGTAATCAATCTGTGCAATCTTTTTGCATGAGATGATAATATGGTCTATGGTTTCATCCGATTCATTGCATAGTCTGTATTTAGCGTTAGCTGATGAATTTTTAACTTTAGCTTTGACGGCATTTATTTTAATCGTTTGATTATTATTATTATTATTAATTATTAAGTAACGAAAATAGCATTCTGTATATGTAGCTGTAGACGACAGACGAGAGACAATGATCAGGTTTGCCTAAAAGTGTAGTCACGTCGGTATGAATCCACGAACCAACTAAACACTCAATTCTCAAATATTTTCAGAATTTAAGAATTATATAATGTTTATTTTGGTTCTCAAGCATTAATTAACCCAAATTACATTATGGTAGGCCTTACCTCACATTTTACAGTATTTTTTTTATCCGGTTTATGAATTAATGATAACAGTTTCTTCCTTAACGAAATCGTGTTTTGACTCAGCTCAAAATATTTGTATATAATTTACCGGTGTTACCGTTAAATGAAGTGTTGTTAATAGGACTTCAGAGACTTCAGACGACCAGGTTATACGATGGCCACATTTTATCTCGATAAACTTATATGTTTCTTTTATAAAATGTTGAACATTCAAATTTAGATTAATGATATCATTAATAGATTCAAACTTACCTTTTACCGTGAAAAAAGGAAAATGTCAAGGAATTTAAGTGTTGGAAAAAAAAAGAAAAACATTGATTTGGAAATTTCTTGATTGTTTTTAAGTTGTGGATCTTCCAGCTTTCTTCTTGGAGAAGATGAAAAATTGCCAACTGATTATACAAGCAAAATAAATTCTAATTGTATACATGAAATATTTTAAACTGTTTTAAATTTTATATCTATAAAATAATTGTAAAACAAGGAAAAAAAATACTCTATCAATAAAGAAACTTACATTATCACTTTCTGGCTCTTCTTTAGTAATATCTTTCTTTTTTTCATTGTAATGCTTGCCATTCGAAAATTAATATATCCTGTACGAAAAATTGATTTTGTAAACGTTTTTAAATGCAGATAAGCCCGGCGTTGCCTGGGCAAAAAATAAGAACAATAAAACATTAAAACGAAACGATATATAGAGCCTACGATTGTCATGTTTATCGCGATATTCGGATGATATGAAATGGCACAATTTCATTTGTCAATTCTGCCGAGGGGGTGCCTCCTGGAAATACTTTTATGGGAAACTGGTCCTTATTTAGGTGTTACTAATGGACAAAAATCCCGGAAAACTCCACATGGCCAGCCCATTGGTGATGTTCAAACCCACGACCAACTACCAACTAGGTTGTTCTATCCACTCAGGCACTATTGGGCATGTATTAGAATTAAGAAAGAACCATTCAGAAATGAAAAACTCAGAGTTGTTATATGTGAAAAATTAAATACTTGTGTAGTTTTCACTGTGTAACACTTTAGACTGAACCCACACGAGTGCTCGGTGCTGCCCGTGACAGTAATAATATAGTAAGTCTATTTCCTGCTACACAATGTCTCAGTAATTAAGTGAATATGTATATTTTAAATTATATCATATCCTTTATGCATTATTTAATTTTAGTGTAATATTTAAAAATTTTTGCCAATAGCTGGCGCTACATGTAAAACCAGCAAATCCTTGTGGACAAAAATTTAATTGATATATATAAAAATATCATCAGTATTTTCGAATGATATGTACGACATTATCTAAGTTAGAAGTATGTAAAACGTAACTGCCTAGTTTCGTAGCAATTGGTCGAATGGACTAGGAGTGCATAGCGAATAAACAAACATCCACATTTAAAAATATAGATGAAATGACTCTGCAGAAATACATCATCTGTGCATTCCCTAGTAGAGGGAAGCAAATGAAGCAATGTGTCCTAGCATCAAAATATCGTTTGTATACACCGGAACTTAATGAGTAAATTGATAGAACGTTCATATTGTATTGTGTTTTGACAGCATTGCCACACAATAACGGTATAAACTAGGTCGACAAAAGACAAAAATAATAGTAAAAAAATTCCCCTAAATCCTCAATTTATAAGAAATTCACCGTTTTTAATTATCTAGAAATATTTCCTTATTTAATTTTTTTAAAATTTGTTTTGTTAAATTTCTCCTTTATAAACGAATTAGCA